AAAAAAAGGAGGATTAACATGGATGTTAGCTCAGGGCTGATCTTCCTCACAAAAAACAAAAAAGAAATAAACACATAATATAAAAAAAAAACTTCTCAGGCAACTAGACTTTTGGTGGTGAATGCAGTGTAGTCTATACAGAAGTCGAAATGTAATAATGTACAACTGAAATCTATATAATGTTATAAACGAATGTTACCTCAATTAAAAGAAAAATAGGAAAAGAAAAAATCAAATAAAGAAATTTTAAAGGTAAGGAGGGGAAAAAAAGAACATTTTTTATTTGTTAAGAAAAAATAAATTTAAAAAGGAAAGCAGTACTTAATACCACTAAACTGTACACTTAAAAATGGTTAAGATGGTAAATTTTATGTTATATGTATTTTACCACAGTAAAAAAATTTTTTAAAAATTTCTCACCTAAAAATAAGAAAAGGGCTGGAGGTAGATTGAATGGCTGATGATAGAATGCAGCAGGTATTAAAATCATGTGGCCCAGGGGTGGGGCTGTGAGGTTTCTGAAGACCACAGAGTCATTTCCTTGAGTATTACGGCTTGCTTCCTGAGAGGGCATTTGGGAAAGAGGCTCCAGCAGAGGGCCCCAAGAGAGATGCCAGCACATCTCGTGTTCTCGGGGCATTGAGGGTGAACAAATGGTGATGAGGATGATGACAGAAAGCAAGAAAAGGAAATTAGCATTCATTGGACACCCAGGATGCACGAGGCACTTTGCTAGTATACACATTCTCTTTTATTTTCCCAAAACCTTGAGTGCAGTTATTCTCAATCAGGGGCAATTTTGCCCCCAAGGGAATATTTGCCCGTGTCCAGAGATATTTTTAATTTCGAAACTGGGGGATGCCACTGACATCTAGTGGGTAGAGACCAGAGATGCTGCTAAACATTCTACAATGTACAGGACAGACCTTCACAACAAGAATTATTTGGCCCAAAATGTCAAGAGTACTGAGGCTGAGAAATCCTGCTTGAATGGTAGGCATGATAATCTTCATTTTTATGGATCAGAAACCTGAAGTTCTGAGAAGCTACCTGGCATTCAATCCTAGGCTTATACAGCTCCAATGCCATGCTCTTTCACCATGCCGTAGTGATAAGAAGAACAGTGATGGCAATGAAGGTGGCAAAGATAAAGAACTACGGCACAAATGGGTGCTCAATAGATATTTGTTGAAGAAGTAAAAGAGTGAATGACGGGGGGCAATAATGAGGATGAGTGTGATCATCCTCTCGCCACCCTGACACGCCTCCTTGTTCTTGTTCCACAATACAAAAGTGAGTCAGGGATTATGATAATAAATAAAATCAAATAATGGTGGGTGGCCTCAAGCCCCCAGGCTCAATTTCAGGAGGAGTCCAGATTCCAGTGTCTGGGGGTCCAAATGGAACTACAAGTACTAGAAGTTCTACAACTACGTGGAAGTACAAGAAGACTATCTGTACACTCTCCTCCTTCACCTTCTCTAAAGAGTTAGAGACAGATAAGAGGTTCTGAACTGAGTTTGGGTGACCATTCGCCTCTGTCTCCCAGAAGCGTGGCCCGGCTATGGCCCCAGAGGAAGAAGAGGAAGTTGCTTCCCAGCTTCTAAAATTTCTGTGAATTTGGAGTTGGGCTGAGCCAGATTTGTTCTGGGAAACCCTGAATCTTCTGGGAGGGAACAGTTGAAAGGAAAGAGGGTGGAAGGGGAGGAGCCTGTGATAAAAGAACATTTCATTTCACTTCCTCTTTTGGGCTCCAAAATTTGTCCTCTGGGGTGATCTGTCAAGCCTCCAGAGAAGCCTGTGCCTGCCGCCCTGGTGCTGTGGAGCCAGGTCACTCCAGGAGGTGATGGAGATTCCTTCATTCCTACCCATGCCTGCTGCTGAGAGGATCTGGGCTGACTGCACACTCTGCCGTCCTTTGGACCACATGCTACTGTGGACAGCTCTGCTATTCCTGGGTAAGTCAGAGTCCCCAGAAGAGAGAGAGGACCAGGAACAGAGGCAGGTGCACTTTCCTAACTCAGCTGCTGCTGCCTTGGTTGGGGCTGAGCTTGGGCAAGGATGAGGGGTGGCGTGGGAAGCGTGTGAGGAAAATCAGGAGGGTGAAGGCAGGCTAATGAAGACCAAATTCTGACAACCCTGCTGGCCCTTGGCAAATTGTGAAATTGGCAGAGTTTGAGTGTTGTTTTTTTTTTTTAGTGTCTTTCCCCAGTCTCACTGGGCACTCAGGTCCTGGATCCTCTGCCACCCTCCACATCAGAACCTGCTCTGAAGAAAATCTAGTGACCTAGACTTGAATGACTGATGAGGGGACAGGATGTTTCTCTTCCTTGGAAATTTGTGTTTCACAGGGACCAAATCTTATGTTGGAGGGCTAATGCTGTCTTAGACAAAGAGTGAAGAGGAAGCTGTAAGACACATTTGCGGGGGAGGCAGAGGCCAGTCTCTGTGCCCCTGAAACCACTTCATGCAGCAGAAGCCTATTCTCTTTATGTCTAAGGCGATTCCCCTAGGAAGAAGCACAAGAGGGTCTGGGTTATCCAGGGAACTGGGGCTCAGAAGATAAATAACCTGGGCAATTCTAGAATTATAAATTGTGGGACCAGAGAAATCACGCATGCCTCCTTACACTGCACAGACATAGGGACAGGTCCTGGCTCTGATCAGAAAGAAAGCCAGGGTCTTCAGCCAAGATGGAGGGCTAGTTTCTGACCACGTTCTTAGCTGTGGGCGAGGGGCCTGGGACAGGTGGTGCTGGGTAGGAGCAAGAGTCTAGTGGAGGCCAATTAGGGGAGTGCCACTGCCAGGACTGTCTCCTCAAGCTCAATTCCTGGAGTTTCCACCCTTACATTTGCCTCAAGATGGCCCCAAAGGAAGACATGCAGCCGCTCCCCCAAGTTATGTGCTATGACTCGTAGTAAAACCTGGTCAGCTCTGGTAGCCCTTGGCCCTCCATGCTGGATGATACTGGGACAGGAGCTGGAGGTGAGGAAGAGAGAATATTCCGCTATGAGCGGGATGAAATGGATTGAAGTAGAATAGCATGTAACATGAGCCCTGAACTACCTCGTTTTTCACGTCCAGAAGCTCAGGCCTGGAGAGATGATACGTTTCTCTGTCTCTGCTAATAGTGTTACCAATGTGCCGGTCACCTGGGCAAGACTCCTGGGAGAGACTTTTGGTGTTTTCTTCCATGTGTGCTTTTGCTAAGTCACCGAGGATCTACTCCATCTTTTCCCTTCTCATTTGGGCCCCCATATTTAGGTCTTCATCACTCAATGACTCAATTTTCACAGCACCCTCTGACCTGGTCTTGACTGCTCCTGTCCCCTCTTCCCTGAATCCATGCTGCACACTCAGGCCATGACATTTTCAGTACAGCTATGGCTGAGTCACTGCTCTTCATAAATGACTTCAAAGCTGCTCTAGTGCCTACTGAATAAAGCTCCAACTCTACCCTCCTAACCACGTTCCCCATTGCACCCCAAGTGGATCTTCCTCTATAGCCAGGTGACATGGGCACTGCACAGTCTGCTTTCCACATTTTCTGCAAACTGCCTTGTTTAAGCATTAAATGAATGCTGTGTGCAGGCACAAGTTCTAGGACTTGGGGATTTATCAGTGAACAAGACAGACAGCCTTCCTGACCTAAAGCACAAGGTTTTTGTCTCCCTCACACTGATACTTTGGTTGTGACCATATTTAATATTTGCTACTATTTGTTGAATGTGGAATAAATAACTGGTGACTTCTCTCTCCTTGTCTCATCTCTTCCTTGTTTCTTCTTTTCCTCCTCCTCCTCTTAGTCTCTACTTCTTTACTCGCTTTCCTCCTGCACTGTCTCTCTTGCTGATCCTACACACTCAGGTTTTTAGCTACCACTTCCATGTCAATAACTCTCAAACCTATCTCTGTTGCTTGTGTCAAGTACAATTTCATGTTTCCACCTGCTAGTTGGACACCTCCAGATCGATTTGCCAGCTCAGAAACAAAACATATTCACAATCCAACTTATCATCTTCCCCTTACAAATGTTCTTCCCCTCCTCACATTTATATTTGTGTGAGCACAACTAACCTTGTTCCTAGTTGCCCATTTTCACTACCCCCACGTTGTATCACATGCCAAGTTCTCGCAGTTCTGCCTCTTAAATTTCTCTCATATCCACGTCCTCTTCTTCACTTCCTATTGTCAACACAACTTTGGGCTCTCCTATCTCCCACCTTGATGCATTCAATGAATGATTTCCAGAACACTGGCAAATAAAATTAATTTGACTACTGCCATCTTTGAACTTACATCCTACTGAGGGATGTAAACAATAAATAAACAAACAAAATGGCATAAATATAAATTGAAAAGGGCTATGAAGATGTAAGGAGGATACTCTGTTAAGAATAGTTGTTGTTGGGGAGGTGAGAGAGCAGCCTGCTTAAAAAGGATGCTACAGAAAGACTTTTCTGAGGAGGTGACGTTTAAGCTGAGAGCTTAAGCAAGGTAAGAATTTAGCCACTTGAAGATACAAAGGAAGCATGTTTAGAGTAGAGGGACCAGCATACACAAAAGCCCCAAGTGTTAAGAATTTAAAGGTGGCTGTGTTACTGGAGCTCAGCGAGTAAGGGAAGAGGGTCTCAAGATGAGGCTGGAGAGGTGAGCAAGGGCCATGTCAGGTGGGGCCTTGTAAACTATTAACATTTTATTTTAAGAGCAAAGGAAGGCCATTGAACGCTTGTTAGCAGGGGAGTGACATTATCTGATCTGATTTTTTAAAAAGAACTCTAGCTTCTCTGTAGAAAATGGATTGCAGCGGGGACAGAAGAAGTGAGGAGACAAGAAAGGAGATGGGAGAAAGCACGTGGTAACCTAAACTAGAGTGACAGCCACGGAGATGGAGAGAAGTTGATGGATTCAAGAGCAGAGTTGGAAGCAGAATAATAAGATTTACTGATGTGAAGGGGGAGGAGGTTTGGTAGACAGAGAGGAATAAAAGATGACTTGTAGTTTTCAGGCATGAGTAACTGGGTAGATAGTGAAGATAGGTACTTATATGGGGAAGACTGGGAGAGAAATAGAATGTGTCCACTTGATTCGACAACATGGAGATCATTGGTGATTTTGACAAGAAAAGTTTGAGTGGACTGGTGACGGCAGAGTCCAAATTGCAGAGAATTCATAGTGAACGGGAGGAGAAGAAATGAAGACAGCCTACGTAGGAAAAAAATGGAGAAATCTGGCTGTGAAAGGAAGCAGAGAAATAATTCTGGAATTATACGTGGAGTTAAGGGAAAGTTTTTTTGTTTTTGTGTTTGTGGTTTGTTTTAATGAAAGCTCCTGGAATATATTTATGTTGATGGAAAAGATCCAGCTGAAAAGGAGAAACTGGTGATGCAGAAGAGAAAGGGAATTACAGAGAGAAGGAAATCCTTGAGAGGATGATAGGGAATGTGTTCCAAATTCCCTATCACAACCTGGGTGCTATCAGGATAGAGACTGACCATAGGTAGGAGAGATACTTTCCCCAGTGAAAAGCAAGAAAGGAAGACGGATAGAGATGCAAATAGGTTAGAAGATTTAGTTGGGGGAAGTTATGAGATGTCCTGTCTAACAGCTTTTGTATTCTCTGTGAAGTATGAAGGAAGGCATCAGCTTTAAGTGAGAGGGGAGTAGAGGCAGAGGAGGGGAAAGGTGGGGAGTGAGGAAAAGACGAGTTTCACTACCAACAGTAGCAGAGCAAATTTACCAGAGAAAAGTGTCAGAATAGCAGTTCAATGTCCTTTTGAATACGGTGACCATAAATTTATGGAGATACCAATCTGCCTGCTTGTGTGTTAATTTCAGTGACACACAGCTGAATAAGTAAAGGCCTGGATAACACAGGTGAATTTGCTGGAGACAGAAAGGCAAGGAAGTTAAGGGGATTTGCAAGGAGGTGATTATTTATAAGGATGAATCATCGAATCTAAACCCCCCGGGCTGATCTTTACTTTCTCTCTTACAGCTCCTGTTGCTGGGACACCTGGTAAGCGCTCCACCACATCCTCTCCCTCCCCCAGCTACCCTCTTCTTTTACTCCCAGTACCCTGTCTGGACTGCTATGAATGCACCAGTAACCCAGTCCTGAGGTAGAGCCAAAGAATAATTGCTCCCGGAAGATGCCCTGCCCCCTCTCCCTCACTCCTTCCTCCTTCCCCTCCCACCAGGGAGGCAGAGGAGGAGCAGCCATGATGCATAGGTGCTTCAACCCTTGTAGTTCTGTTATGGTGAGATGTCACAGATATTGTCACAGAATGTAACTCTGTCCTCTCCCTCAATCGCCTTCCTCTCCAAGTAAAATCAAGAGCCCAGGCGATTTAAATGTCAGCTGCATGCAAAATCACATGATCTGCTTAGGTTGTCCCCATGTGTTGATAAATCCTCTACTTTGCATGTATCTGAGGGCTTCAGGGCCTCTTTCCCTGAAGAGGAGATTCCACTGGTTGCAGCTTGGTGGAGGGAGCTCTGCTGGGCACTTCTTTCTCTGTACCACTACTCTCCCTACCACTCAGGACTGGTAGGGGGGCATGCTCTCCCTGGGACCCTGAACCCAGGGCTCCCTAGACTGGCCCTCCGGCCTTTCTCCTGCTCTCTTTAGCCTTCTGAGGCCACAGGGACTCCTCTGTGCTTGTATGTGAGGATAGGCCACCCTGGTCTCCTTTCTAAAGTGGTTAAGAATGACATCAGGTCAGAACAGAAAGCTGATGTCTGTCTTTCATGCACTTGCCTTCATCCAGCTCTGGAGAGAGTTTATCCACTAGCATCCAGATGCCTCAGTTTAGAGGGGAGGAAAGTGGGTCCCAAAAGTGTGTGTGTATGTGTGTGTGTGCGAGAGAGAGAGAAGAAACTGGTTAGATATCACTTGGTGAGGTATACGTGTAGTTCTAGAGTATTTGCCTTGCCCCCTCTCCCTTTCTCTTACCTCTTGCCCTCTCCTTCTGAGGAGCAGTCAAGCTCTCTGAGAGGACCCGGGATCTGTGGGGCCCCTATGGTGGGATGCACGAGTAAGAGGAATTGCCTTCAGTTGCAGAACAGTTCTGGGCCGGGTTCCACTCTTGATGTCCCCAGCAGGACCACAGTTTTTCACTGTCTGAGACTTGGGGCCTGCTTAGGCTCTTGGTGTCCCATTTCCTCACTCTGCCTCCTCTCTCTACCCCTCAGCAAATCTCCCAAAAGCTGTGGTGAGCCTTGAGCCCCCATGGATCAATGTGCTCCGGGAGGATACCGTGACTATGAAGTGCCAGGGGGCCCACACCCCTGGGAACGACTACACCCAGTGGTTCCATAATGGGAGCTCCATCAGAACCCAAGTCCAGCCCAGCTACAGCTTTAAGGCCAGAAACAACGACAGCGGGGACTACAGGTGCCAGACGGGCCAGACCAGCCTCAGCGACCCTGTGCATCTGGATGTGATTTCCGGTCAGTGGAGGAAGGTCCAGGAAGGGTCTGGGAGGACAAGGAGAGATGAAATCTGTTGATGTGGCAGAAGTTTTTAGGAAACAGTGATGGCTTGTTTACTGCGAAGCATGGCTGTGAGTTGTTTAAAGTAGTTTTTGCCCACTCATTTCCCTTTTCACCAACCCCCTTGGCTTGGTGTGTTTGGTGGGGGTGGAAGTTCCTAAGAGATTCCTCACAATATGTTAGGCTGTTTTGCCTCAGTCCTGATTGAGCAAGAAGCTTACAAGGCCACAGACAAGTAGCCGGGGAAGAGAAAAGCAGAAGGAAATCCCTACTTCATAAAAATCCTTCCATTTTTATGGCAGAGTCAAAAAGCACAGGCAAACCACACGTGAATCCTGGCCCTGGAAATTACTAGCCGTATAAACATGATGAATTCATTCACCCTGAGTCTCAGTTTCCTCGTCTGCTCAATGGAGATACTCATGCCTCCCTCATCAGATTCTGGTGAGAATCTGCATTTCCCTGCCCTCCAGCCCTCCGTGCAAATTGAGGTGAAAGTTGTGTTTTAACTATCTTTGCATTTCTAGCCCCTGACACAGGGCAGGGCTTAATAAATGTTTGCTAAACAGATCAATGATTTTACAGAGCCCCTGGCAAAAAGTAGGTTCTCCATAAAGAATAGCTACAATGTGATTATGATGAATGTCATTGTTACTCTTCACTTAGTCCCCTTCTCTCACCTGTTTCCCAAATTTTCCTCAAAAGTACATAGCAGGCTAGGCAGGCCCACAGCCCCGGGCCTGCTGCCCCCATCTTCTCAGCCCAGCAGGAAGTGACACCTGGAGGGAAGCCCTGGAGGCCTGGCAGAGCCCTGACCTCAGTGTCCCTGCCCCTCCAGGAAGGGGAGGAGGCGAGAGAATCCCTCCACCAGACTGAGCAAGTCCCCACTCAGCCGCCAAGTCTGGGGACTGGGGACTCTGGCATATGAGGCAGATGCCCCTCTGGAGGACTGGGGTGCAGAGTCAGATGTGAAGGTCTTGAGTCAGAGCACCAGCCTTGGGGACCCTGGGCCACCACTATGGAGAATGAGAGTCAACAGAACTCCAACTCCACCAATGGGAGTTCCAGCTCAGGGGGCAGCTCTCAGCCCCTGATAGCTCAAATGTCACTGCACAGTGGCACTGCTGCGGCAGCCCGGTAGGGCTCTCTACCAGTTCTTGCTCCAGCAGCGGCTCAGCAATGCCCAGCTGCATAGCTGGCTGCTGTCCAGCAGGCCACAATTGCTGCCAGTCAGCAGCCCAGCTCCCTAAAACACCAGCACTACCCAGCAGCAGACTACCGCCACCCAGGCGTCAGTCAGTCTGGCCACCACATCGGCCACCCAGCTCATCAGCCATGCCCAGAGTGTGGCACTACCACTTTGACCCACCCACTCTGTGCTACTGGGGACCACCACCTACTCACCCCTTCAACCAGTCCCAGGCCCAGATGTATCTAAGGCCACAGCTGGGAAACCTACTGCAAGTAAATTGGACCCTGGGCCGGAAGGTGCCTCTAGCCTCCCAAATCATCCTGATGCCTGTCGGGGCAGTAGCTGCAGTCCAGCAGGAGGTGCCATCTGCTCAGTCTCCTGAAGTCCATGCAGATGCAGATCAGGTGCAGAACTTGGCAGTGAGGAACCAACAGGCCCCAGTCCAAGGCTCCACTCAGAAGGCTATTCTCCTGTCTTTAGCCTCCTCCGTCTCCAGCCAGGCTCTAGCCGAGGCTCAGGCTTCCTCGGGGGCCTCAGGCCAGTCCTCAACCTTAGTCAAGCTGAGGGATGCAGTGAGAATAGCATCCCAGGTTCACAAGTCCAGGTGGCAGTGGCCACGCACCTGGGCATTTGGATCAGTTGCCTTCCTCAGGAACGGGTGGTGGTGGGAGCTGTCCCAAGATAGGCACAGGCGTGGTGGAGCCCTGGCCTGCAGCTCAGATAGTGACTGTGAGCCAGAGCAGCTAGACAGAGGATGAAAGTGCAGTGGGCCAAGAAGGTAGGAACAGATGGATGTGGACAGCAGGACGTGGTTATGAACCTGACACGGACAGCTACACCTGCTCCCAGCCAGACTCTTAGTGGCTCAGCCACCCACTCACAGATCCAGCCCCATTCACTGATTTAGCAGCAGCAGCAGATCCAGCTCCAGGAGAAACAGGTGGTGATCCAGCAGCAGATTGCCATCCACCCCTGGCAACAGCTCCAGCACCATCCATCCCAGTACTGCACACAGCTATGCACCTCCAGTTGGCACAGCAGCCACAACTCTCACTGTCCCTCAGCCACCAGAGCCCAGGCCCTTCTACATGCAGTTTGTGCATGTGCGGGCAAATCCAGACACTGGCTGTCAAACATAAGGTTGAGTCTGAGGAGAGAGAATGTCTCCGCATTGGGTTCAATGCTTCCTGCCAAGGTGTATCCAGCAGCAGAGAGCCCCAAGGCCGTTGAGGAGAAGAGCAGTCTTGGAGAGAAAGATGAACCGGTGACCAGTGGGAAGGCTAATACCCCAAGCAGTGAACGGCAGCAGTCGCCCCCACCCATCAGCATCATCGCCTACATTAGCCATGGTGTCCAGACAGATGGGTGACACAAAACCCCCACAGGCCACTGTGAAACCTCAGATTCTCACCCACATCTTTGAAGGCTTTGGTGTCCAGGAAGGAGCAGAACATTTCCTGGTGGGTTGTTCTTCATTACTGAAAGAGTCTGAGAAGCCACTACAAGCTGGCCTTCTGATAGGACTGAATGAGAGTCAGTCAGGTGACCTCTTGGGAGGGTACAGCCCATCTGCTGAGTAGACAAGAAGGCAAATCTCCTGAATTGTGAGCACTGTGGGAAGTATGCCCCTGCAGAACAGTTTTGTGGCTCCAAGAGGTTCTGCTCCATGAGTTGCACTAAAAGGTACAATGTGAGCTGTAGCTGCCAGTTCTAGCTGAAGAGGAAAAATATGAGAGTTTCAAGAAGCCAGCTAAGCTCATGTTCACCAGCGTGGACACCACCACAGCTCCTCTGACATTGCCCATGCCAAGATCCGGGGCAAGCACTGCCAGGGTCAAGAGGATTCTAGCAGGGGTTCAGAGAATTCCAGTTATGATGAAGCACTTTCTCCAACGTCTCCTGGGCCTTTATCAGTGAGAGCTGGGCATGGATAATGTGACCTCGGAAACCTCCATATGGCTCTGCCTACACCAGAATTACATGGCATCAACCCTGTGTTCCAGTCCAGTAATCCTAGCCATTGGAGTGTAGAGTAGGTATATGAGTTTATTGCTTCTCTACAAGGCTTCCAGGAGATTGCAGAGGAGTTTCGTTACCAGGAGATTGGTGGAAAGGCCCTTGTATTACTTAGAGAAGAACATCTCATGAGTGCCATGAACATGAAGTTGGGCCCTGCCCCCAAGATATGCACCAAGATAAATGTCCCCAAGGAGGCCTAAAGTGGCCCTTTTGCACAAACCAGCCTAAGGCAGACACTGCCTACTTTCTAGGTTATAACCTGGCACCAGCAGAGACTTTGCAGGAAAGAATGAGCTGTTCCAATGATGCACATCCTCTACAAAGGGGACTACCCAGACAGGGAAGAGAAGTGCAAGAATTGGCTGCTGGTGCTACGTGGCAGCAGCTTTGACATTTTCTCTGGGTTCTACTTTATTTTTAAAAAACTTGAACAATTCTCAGCATTCCCACCTACCCTAATCCAATCTTTATAAAAGAGGCAGTCTGGAGAACCAGGACTGCTCAGCCTTGTCCTGGAGTGGAGGGTCTAGCCAGGGTCTGAGTTCTGCAGGAGGAGGAGTATGCAGTATGGTAGGCAAGGAAATGGGTGGAAGGTAGGGGTGCCTCCCCAATGGGAGAGGTAGGGTTTTCTAGCTTGTGTGACACAAGTGGCAAGATCTGGTACTCCCCCCTCTTCCCTCTGGATTGTTCCACAGTAGCTGTAGCTCACAGTTTTCTCTTTCTTGTCACTCCCTCTCTTGTTATTGAACATTTTCTCCTGCCTCCATGGTAGGGTCACCAGCCAGTGCAGAGACTTATTTGGCCTCATTCTGATTTGCTGCAGGGACTAAGAGTGTTTGACTGCCACACATGTGGCTGTTGTCATTCTGTCTGCATCCCCTGCTCCCTTCCAATTTCTCTGTGGTCTTCTACCCTACCTTTCCTTCCAATTCCAACTCTCTTCTGTCCTAGGGCTTTAGAAAAATGGAGTGTATGGGGCTGAGGTCAGGAGTATAATACTCGCCTTAGGCTCTATTCCCTATACAACAAAAATATTAAATGTTTTTTTCTTTCTCAGTGAAATGATGAGAATTGGGGGAAAAAATGTACACAGCAGGCTAATGACCCACCCATGACACTGCTGCCTTCAGACAAAGACCCTGCTGAAGCAACGCTCCACATTTACTAACATTCATCCAATAAGCTAATATTTGTTGATGTCTGTGACTTTCTACTATCCCCAAAGACATATATCTCTGCTGTGTGCCCCTCACATGTCATCTCCTATGTCAGACTGGATCCCTCTCTCCCTCCCCCAGGGAAGGGACTGTACCTGGGGGTCTCTTGTATCCTTCCTGTGGAGGCCTGTTGGGCAGGACAGGGCTGCATCTGCCTTCTCCCAGGCCAGAAAAGAGAAGACAAGCATAGCCTGTACACCTACTATGTGCTTGAAACTATTGTAGATGCATGGTATTATTATGTCCGTTTTCACAGATGAGGAAACTGAGGCCCAGAAGTGTTAAATTACTTGCTCGAAATTACAGAGTTCATAAATGATGGAGCCAGAATTAGAGACCAGGATCATCTGATTCCATACTTAAGCTCTTCCCTCCACACATCATGTCCTACCACTAAGGATAGTCTGGGTCTCAGAGTTCAGTCAAGACCTGCTGGGTCCTGTGGTCCCTTTGTGTCTTTCAGACTGGTTGCTGCTCCAGACCCCTCACCTGGTGTTCCAGGAGGGGGAGCCCATCCTCCTGAGGTGCCACGGCTGGAGAAGCAAGCCTCTGTACAAGGTCACATTCTTCCAGAATGGAAAATCCAAGAAGTTTTCCCATCTGAATTCCAGCTTCTCCATCCGACAAGCAAACCTCAGTCACAGTGGCGAGTACCACTGCACGGGAGTTATAGGGCAAATGCTGCACACGTCACAGCCTGTGAACATCACTGTCCAAGGTGAGAACTCTGTCAAGATGGAAGGAGGGGAGAAAGGGGATGGACAATCAGGGCTAAGATCATTTGGGCCTACATGGAGATCTGAGGAACGCCACTGCAGTAAAATTGGGCACAGGGCAAAGAGGAGGGGTATGAGGGCTTTACTAAGCATTGGCGGTGGGCAGGAGTAGGGGCCAGAGCTCTGAGCCCTGAGTTTCTGGTAATAGGTGACAAGTGAAAAGGCTGTTGGGCCACTTTGAAATGCAGGCCCCCTACTAAGGAGGGCAGCAGAGCAGAGCTTCCTCATTGGAAGGAACCTCAGGGGTTCCTTAAGCTCCTGGACAACCCTAAGAACTGAGGTTTTCCTCATTTCTTCTCAGTTCTCGTGTTACACCCATTCACTCCCAAAGGCATGTTCCAGACAGTTCAAGGCTGTGCTAGATCCAGTGGTGGTGCCTCTAGCTATGGGAGGCTTCAGGTCACCCCTCCCTGCTATCCTCGAGGGCTAAGAGGAACCCTTCCCTCTGTCCCTACACACTCAACAGTGTGCCTTTATTAGATTAGTGGAGAAATCTAGGTATGGGGGAGGCACAAGTCCAGCTACAGAAACCTGTGCAGGTAAGGTTGGGGGAGGAAGCAAGTGTTGCCCCCGTGGGTGACCCAGACACAAAACAGCTCCAGGGGAGAAGCACTGGGGTATAACATTGGAGAAGGGCTGGGAGGGTGGAGGCGGGACTGGGAGAGTACTGCCTGTCCTGAGGTCTGTCTTCCCCAGGGCCTGGGGACTCTTCACTGGTGGTGATAATCGTGTCTGTGGTCGCCGTGATCACTGCAGTGGCCATTGGTGCTGCCGCAATAGGCTGGTTCCGCCTCAGGAAAAAGCAGATCTCAGGTTTGTGGCTTCTCTTGATCCTTCTTGTTATTAGTTCCTTTTTGGCCAAGGTCCTAACCCTAAATATTGCCAGAACCCTCCTCTTTGGGCTAGAGAATCCTTAGCACTCAGATAGAGCCCCATATTTTATTCAGTCATTTATTCATTCATTCATTCAACAAGGCTTGAACGAACTTGCTTATGTGTCAAGCACTGTGCGAGATACTGTGGATGATACCAAGATAAAGAAGTCCAGTCTCTGTCCTCAAGGAGTTCACAGGATGGTGGGGAAGACAGATGCACAATAATTAGATGGGATAAGAGCAACGAGAAGAGAAATGCAAAGGCTGTGATGTGCAGGGAAGAAGAGCCCACATAACCCAGCGTGGGCTGGTGCAGTTAGAGAAGCTTTCACTGGAGGCAGTGTTGTGTTGCACACGTGATGGGGCCTGAGTTCAAATCTCAGCTCCACAGCTCCCCAGTTGTATGATCCTGAGTGAGTTACTCAACTTCTCTGTGCCTTGGTTTCTTCATCTGGAAAGTGAGGACACTAGTAGAACTTACCTCATAGGGTTGTTATGAGGATGAATGAGGCTGAAGTTCTTATGCCTAGTACACAGCAAACAGCACATAAGTACTAGCCGTTATCATGAGGGAAGAGGTGATGTTTGAGGGTAGCAGTTAGCCAGGCAGAGACGGCTGGAAGAGCATTCCAAGCCTGGGGGCCGCAGCATGGAAATGAGGAACGTTGTGGCTAGGATGGGGGTGGAGGGAGGCGTAAGGAGGGTGCTGTAAACAGTCTGTTGAGACTGAAGCCGTAAATTGCAAGGCAGAAAAAGAAGAGATGAAGCAAGGCAGAAAGATGGGCAGGGGCCAGGTCGTGGAGACCATGTAGGCCACATTAAAGAACTAAGCTGTACTCCACTGGGGTTGGCAAGACCACACGAGGGCAGTAACCATGTTTCCTCATTCTGCACTTATCCCCCTCTACCGAGCACAGCGCTTGCCATGCAGCAAGATGCTCAATAAATATTTGTTCACTGACTGATCAGCTGAAGAACTTCAACTCTTGGAAAGCAGTGTCTCTGCCTTAGTACTAATGTAAAAGAGCTGAGAGAGAAGGCAAGGTGCCATAGAAATTTAATAAGCAAATTGTTGTAATTCATCACACTGAAAAGTTAGATTGGTAGAGAGAGAAAGCACTAAAGACACCCAGACGCAGAGAAAGCAAAGGGGAAAAAAGACTCACAAAGCACTTTGCAATCGGTTTGTAGCCAGGACCTCAGGTACTGATGGTAAGTAAATACAGAGATACGGAGAGAGATACCACGAGGGAGAAAGAGGTGCATTTTAAAAGACAGAGCAAGCCTAAGAAAGATGCAATAGAGTGGCCTTTCTGACAGTCCCAGGAGGCCCAACGGTTAGCCTAGCTGACTTGCGTCTCTCTAGACCAGCCCTTTCATGGGCTAGGGCAGTCCCTGGGCAGGAGAGCTAGGGAGTGGGGAGGAGAGGAGACATCTGTGTGGGGGAAGGGTCTGTGTTGGTTCTAACCCAATCCTGCCCCTGGTCGTTTGTTCTGAGGACTCAAGCCCTACCCCATAATCCTACTAACCTCCTATGTGCCCCTCCTAGCTCTCTCAGGAACCCCTGAGCACAGGGATATGGGAGAGACTCTCCCTGAGGAACCAGGTGAGTGCAGCTCCCCTTCTGGGGGCTCAGTGACACCCCACCTGGGGCTGCTGTATGGATTGGAGCCAGCAAGAAATGGCTTGTGTGAGTTCAGCTGGGAGCACAGGAGAGGGAGGTGGCAGTGGGAGGAGGGCAGGGGCTCAAATCGCTTGGTCAGTTCTGAGACTAACTCCTGGGCCAAAAGAGGACCTCACTGGAGACGAGAAGACGAACACCTGTCCCAGATAGAGAGGGGAGGGCTATGTCTGAATTTCTGGGCCAGGGATATTTCCAGAACAGGAAATCAGAGATATTTGGGTCTTTCTCTGGGGCTTTGGTAGAGCTGGCACAGGGCAGGTGTTAGAAATTGTGACTGAGGCAAATAGGACTAAGGAGGTAGTATTCTAAGGAGAAAGGAGAAGGAGGCCTAGGGAAAAAACCCTGAAATTGTTGAGGAGCCTGTCTCTGTGGAGTGATAGGGATCAGGGTAACAGGTAATGTTTCTTAGTGAAACATGAAGAGATTTTGGCTTGAGAAAGTTCTGGGCAACCAGGAGTATTAGTGGGTTTTGTGGGCAAAGCTTGGTTCTAGGTTTATTGAATATGGGCCTGGCCCTAGCTCTGTCACCATCATACAATGGAATCTTTAACAAGTCATTCACCCCTCATGGAGTTCAGTCACCTCACTAAGGACATGAATGGGTTGACCTGGATGACCTCTAGGCCCTACCAGGTCTGACATTCTGACAGCCAGTTACCACCCAATCCCTGGCCCAGCTGGGAGTGTGTAAGAGGAGCAGGAATATTCCAGGAGACTTCCCCACTGTAGCTAAACCTGCTTTCTCTGGGGGCTCCCAGACGGCAGAAACAGGCAGCAAAAAGAGGTCCTCGAGGACTATGGCTGGGAGTATGACTCAGAGCAGAGCCAACAGATTTGAGAGCTTGAGCAAAGTGGCACTTGTCCAGCTGCGCTTTGAGCAAGGCCCCTATGTCCCTTGGCCAGGCCAAGTGGGGATACGGGCCTGAGTCCGCTCCAGGGCCAAGCCAGATCTAGAACAAAAGCCTAAACATAACTGGATTAGCCACTTTGACGTTCGGTTCATCTATACTGGCATAAATATATTTCACAAGTCATTTATGCAGCCAGACCCAAAAGGCATAGCAACGTTGTTGGGCTTGTTGAGGGAAGCATTAGAAGGAGAATTCAGGACCTGATTTGTTCCAGAACTTGGAGCATGGCAAACAAGGACTCTTTGTGTCCAGGGATGAGTTAAGAGACTAGATGCTTAGTCTCAGACTCCTCCCCCGCTTCCTGAGGAATGCTGCTTTGCAGGTACTGAGGCTGCTTTTCACATTGGCAAAGTGAGTTTACTGGCAAAAACATAAGGGAATTCGGTGTGTTTTAGATATTTACTAGGGAAAGTACTGGCTTGCTTTCTTGCTTCCTTCTTTCCCTCCCCAACCCTCCCTCCTTCACTCTCATGCTTTCTTTCTCTTTAATGTCACGGAGTATCTGATTCTTTAAAGTTCCAACAAAGATGCACTACAGCTGGCCAATGTGGAAATGGCCCTTGGTCTTCTCTCCCCGAAGTCTGTGGCTGGCAAAAATCTGGACTTGACTTTACTCTGATACTGAACACCCCCACCTCTTCCCCAATATCTCTGATCCCCGAAGCTGCCTTATTTGCTTCTAGGAAAACTCAGCAATTCTCTGAAAAGAATGCAGCGCAAATGACTGCCTCACTTTGCCAGTGTGGCCAGTGGAGGAGGCCATGTCTGGGATACCGAGGGGGTTGGGGGGTGGCTGAAGAACAAAGCCCTTGGCCTACAGGCCTGAGTTGGGGCTGGTGGTCCTTGCCTCAGGTCTGATTTAGGGCTTTGCTTTGCAGCCTCAGCAGCAGTGCGGGTAGGCCCTCTTCTACAGCAGTGCCCTGGCTGATCTATTCTTTTTGCCCACAGCCAATTTCACTGATGCTGAAGAGGCTGACAAAACTGAGGTGAGCCATCCCAGCCATCTCCTTCTCACCCCCACCCCCACGCCCTTTTCTCCTGCTGCCTCTTCTGTTCCTGACTCCTCTGAGGATCCCCATTGCTCTTTTCTGCTTTATCTAGGCTGAGAATACAATCACCTATTCACTTCTCTTGCACCCAGAAGCTCTGGAGGAAGAAACAGAGCCCCCAGATTACCAGAACATTTAGTCTTTGTTGTTTTGCCCGAGACTGGCAGAAGAAAACCAGAGAGGCCAGGATCTGGTGTCTTCTGAATTCTCCTTAGGGAGGCCAAGAGGATGCTGCAGTTCCGAAGGAGCAGGACTCTTCCAGAGTTATCTACATGAATTCTAAAGCTCCCTGTCCTAAAAGCCATAGACAATATGGCCCTAGATGACTGACTGTGCTGATTCCTTCTGTGCCTTAGCACTTCTCGCCATCAAGACTCTTCTGTTATACGTCCACACAGCCAATAAAAATTACTCTTATTAAGAGATTGTAGCAACATGGGAAATGCTTATGTGTTACATGAGAAAAATTATGTAAGTGTATATGATTTCAGAATTGTTGAAACAGACTAACATATGCTAACGTATTAAAAGTGATTGTTTTAAGGTGATGGAACTATTGGTACTTTTCATTTTCTTTCTTTATTTTTCTCTACAGATCATGTATTACTTTTATAATAAAATACTATAAATACAACATTCCCTTTACCTTTTAAAGGCTGTATTGGTTGAAGTGTAGACTGATCTGGGGTCTGTTTCTTTTCAATAATAAAAATCTTGGGAAGGTAGAAATGGGTAGGAGGTGGGAGAGAGGGGAGATGAGACATGCAGAGTGAGTGTCTCTCTTCTTAACACTGAATACTCTTCTTCCAGTGAATTTGTATTCTTGTTGTCGTGTCTTCTTCCTCATCCTCCCACGACAAATAAAACGATCATTTAGTTTTGCAACACCAGTTCTTAGGAAGCCAAACTTCAGATGAGTCCTCAGTGGAGACTGCTCCCTTTTCTTGCCCTGCTATTCTCCTATCATAGTTACTAGAAGGATGTGACCTTCTCAGAGAAGCCATCCTGGCAGGTTAGAAGCATGACTGACAGCTTCCTTAAGGGTTTGGTGGGTGCCCTTGGAGAAGCCTTGTTTTCCTGGGACTCTAACACAGCTCCATCGTGCAACATTCTTGCATTCAAGATTTAGTAGATTTCTTTGTTGGGTAGTTTCCATAGCTTTCCGTGATACTCATGTTTTATAATCCCACAATCAGATTCCATCCTCACATGTTGTTATAATAATAAGGAATAGTAATTGCAATTACTGGGTTATTGAGGGCTTACTTTATGCAAAACTGTGCTTTAGAATTAGAGAGTTTAAGAGTATCAGCCATTTGTATTTCTTCTTTTGTGATTTTCCTTTTCACATGCTCTTGCCCATTTTTAGAGCAACGTTTATGTCCCTTTATTTCTAAGTTACATAGTAGCAACTTATTTCCTTTTATTTATATGCAAATTATTTTACAACACTAATATTCTTTTTATAAAATTAAAATACAGATAAGCAAAAAAGATAAAGCCACAAACCAGAAATAATCAATGCTAACATTTAAAGAATGTCAAGTCACATTCCTCTCTGTAGCAATATGTATAAACACATGTATTTTAAAAATTGGATCACATTATATTTTTACATGTTCATAAATACACATAGGCATTGTAAGCATGTAAGCTCAAAGAATACAGAAACATAAAGAGTAAAGTGAAAGTGACCTTTTGTCTTTGCCGCCCCCCCACCCTCCCCCAAAGCCTGTTCCCCTTTCTATGGGTAACCACTGTTGAACATTGGGTGTATATTTCTGCATTTTTTTCGTGTACATCTAACACATATTTATAGTTTTTTAAAGGCCATAAATGGGATCATACTTTACATATGCTTCTGCAGTTGACTTATTTTGATTAGCAGTGTATTATAGAGCTCTTTATGGAAGTATTTTCTTTTTAAGGATTGTATAGTATTCCATAGTACAAATACTATACCATATTTTATTTAACCAACATTTTAAATGTTACTGATTTTGGGCCAGCCCGGTGGCATAGTGGTTAAGTTTTCATGCTCCACTTCAACGGCCCAGGGTTTGCTAGTTTGAATCCTGGGCACAGACCTATGTGCTGCTCATCAAGCCATGTGTGGAGGTGTCCAATGTACAAAATAGAGGAAGATGGGCACAGATGTTAGCTCAGGGATAATCTTCCTCAACAAAAAGAGGAGGATTGGCAACAGGTGTTAGCTGAGAATAAAATAAAATAAAAGTAAATGTTACCAATTTTTCATTGTTATACACAATACTGCAATGAACAACATTCTTGAATGATATTTTTGGCTGCACGTGTGAGTATTTCTGCAGGATAAATTCCTAGAAGGAGAGTCATTGGCTCAAAGGGTACTCGCACATTGTCTTTTAAAAAGCTGTTTACGGGGCCAGCATGGTGGCGTAGTGGTTAGGTTCCTCCCACTCCACTTTGGTGGCCCAGGTTCACCGCTTCAGATCCCGGGCACTGACTTTCACAACTCATCAAGCCATGCTGTGGTGGTGACCCACATACAAAAATAGAGGAAGATGGGCACAGATGTTAGCTCAGGGCCTCTCTTCCTCAAGCAAAAAGAGGAAGATTGGCAACAGGTGTTAGCTCAGGGCCACTCTTCCCCAACCAAAAAAAAAGAAAAAGCAGTTTACATGTCCTCCCAAAGTATATTAGGGTGCTCATTTCCTAACGCCCTTGTCAATGTCAGGCATTTTTAATTTTTGCCAATCTGATTATAATCGACTATGTTACTCTTCCCTACCCAGCATGAATTTCCCTTGATTCTAGTAACAGAGCCCAATTTTGTTTTGGCAAAATGGCTCTACTTCCCCTCTCAGTCCATGTGGGTAGGTGGGCTGACTGCACCCCTGATTCCAGAGGAGAGTGTGCACCCCAAGCTGGCCAATCAGGCACTGTTTCCCTGGAATTTAAATCCTGCGCAGAGTGACACGATGACTGAAAGCAGGTGAAGTTGGTTCATCCCAATGGCACTGCCCAGATGAGATCGACTTCGACATCCCTGAACCTGCCCTGTTTCTTGTAGTTTCTAAGGTCCTTCAACTTCTCCTTATATTAGTTAATTTATATCTGATAGAATTCTCCTATAATATTCTATGGTCTTGATACCTTTTTTAAGATAGATCTTTGACAAACATTTTTTTTTCCTGCATTATTGGTCTGATCGGGCTTTTTTATCTCTTTTGGAGTCAATTTTGAAAAATTTTACTTTCCTAGGAAATCATCTACTTTATTGGTATGCAGCTGTACACTGTATTTTCTTCCATTTTTTGTAATAATTTGTGTCTTTACTTACATCTCCTGCCTCACACCTAGCTCTTGGGCTTTCTTTCTTTTATCAGTTAGATGATGTCAGCTGGAAATAACAGGAAATCATGATTCAAACTGGCTTAAACAATAAGGAAACGTATTATCTCACATAACAAAAAGTCCAGAGACAGGGTGTCTCCAGTACATCAGAACTCTGGGTCCACTTTTTGCAATTCTCTGGGCATGGCTCTCAGGCTAGCAGCAAGATGATTACAGCAGTTCTAAGTGCCATACCCAAATATCTAGAGAAAGAAAGGCACTACCTACCTCTTCTATGTGTCTCTTAAAAGTGAGGAAACCTTTTTCCAACAATCTTTCCATCATATCATGTTGGTCAGGACTGGGTCACATGCCCATTCCTAAAACAATCACTAGAAAGGGAGGCGAGATTATTACCATAACTTACTTAGCTTAATCATTTAGAGGTGTAACAATTCTTGGAGAGTCAACCAACTTGACCACTATATCTGTTTATCTTAATCAGACTTGCCAAAGGTTTGTCTGTTTTATTAGTCTTGACACAGCTTTTGACCTATTGACCAAGTCTTTGCCTTTTGTTTGTTTTCTAACATATTATTTTTCTTCTACTTTATTTTGATTTACTGTATTATTCATTGATTTCTAAACTTCTGTTTTTAAACAAATTCACAAAAGGCTATAACTTTTCCTCTTATTGCTATTTTGGCCACATCCATTAGATTTTGATATGTACTCCTGTCATTGTTATTTGATTCTAAACAATCTGTAACTCTAATTTTATTTTTTCTTAATTCAAGGTTTATTTAGAAGAGTGTTTTATTTTGTTTGTTTTATTTCCAAGGGGAATGAGCACTATCTTTTTTGTTATTTTCCACTTTTGTTGCACAGTGATGTGGTCTGTATGATTTTTCTGCATGCGAATGTCTTAAACATATATGTGAAGACAATGCTTTATTTTGTTTTTAAATAAATTTTTTATTTTCTTTTAAAGTAATACACACACGTAATTTGAATTGTATAATAGAATACAAAGCATATCACAAGAAATAGCTATTTCTTGCCCCTTCCCTCACATCCCCTCAGTACTGTTCCCCAGAGGCAATCATTTTCAACAATTTTAACTATGTCTTCTGTTAATTTACCTCCATATTTCCAAATAATATAATACGCTATTTCTTGATTTTTCAACATTAGGTATTATCCATTTGATTTCCTACTATAGAATATGAAGACTATTCTTATTTTACCAGAGTACTCGCTTCCCACTTTCCTTACCCAGTGCTCCAATATATCTTTATCACAATTTTATGACTACTGTTCATTACTGAGACAAATAGTGTTCTCTGATTACATTTCCTTTCCTAAACAATCTTTTTTCCTTCTAAAGATAATAACTGTTTCATTTTTATTATTTGTTTAGTTTTCTATGTACCTATTATTAGCTTTTCCCAAATTTTTCAAAAACATTTGGAAGCAGCTTAATACTATTTCCCGTGTAGTCAAATGCGTCAACTAGTTTTTCAGTTTCTTTTTCTTTTTTCTCATCGATGAGAGGTCCCTCCTGGAATTCTCTGTTCTTCAACACTAATTTGGATTGTTTGACCCCTAGGCCCTCTGCACAGCTGTTGCCTGGGACTTCCCTTCATCTGTCTTTTGTATTAAACCTCCATTTTCTTGAATCTTATGTCTTCCTATTTCTTGGTTTACTTCTTTTCTTGGCTGGAGCACGTTTGCCAGGGTGGCCTCGGAAAGGATGTGGGAATGGGATAGCAGATGCAGTTGATTCCCCACCTCCTATTCACTCGACTCACCTGAGTTCAGCTGCACCTACTAGCTGGTTCAATTTCTCCTGAGAATTAAACTATTGTGGGGGAAAATTAGTCACCTGGAAACACCTACTCCCCTTGGGTAGGAGAGTGGCCCTAAGAGTCTAACTTCTCCTTATACAGACTTTTCAGCTATCCTCTTATTTTCAAAATCATTCCTGATCCATATCTTGTGTTGTATCTAATTCCTCTAATTCCTGAACATTTCCTGGGATCTTCCAGGAAAATTATTTTGCTTTTCATTAGCATTCTCCTCTTTAGGGAAATAAACTCAATTCCCTATAACTCAATTTTCTATAACAACATGACCAAGATTTGTGGTCATCTCAATGTTACTTTATCGATATTAAACAAAATATTGTTGTCCAAAAGTTGAATACTAAAGAGACATCTTTATGC